AGTGTATTGGTCCGGCCCTTAACAACTGTCAAAGTTTCTCATGTGGCCCCATAGGAAAATTAATTGCCCACCCCTGTTGTAGGGTCACAATCTAATATATAAAATACTAAGTTAAAATGAATGAGGAGAAAAGCAAGGATTGGTATACTGTGCTTTCTGGCAGATAGGGATGATGAGCAGGATTAACATTGTATGAGTGAACATTTGCTCATCAAGTCTTTCTTCCAAAATACCTTCTCCTAAGGTCTCCCAGCCTTCGAGAAGACATTTGGACTGGAGTTTTGTATGGGGAATTGCCTCTATTACTAGTTCCACTGACAAATAGTTCTGGCAATGGAATTATATCACTAAATTTCACTATGCCAGAGTAATTGTTACAGTTTTTGTTGAAATAATTTACTTGCTGCTAAATCACTTTTCAGAGAATAGTTGCCAAAGTATACAGGCAATACCTGTCCCTGACCTACACTTATCCCTTAGCAAAGTTGATTTAGTGAAATACTGTTCTTTTGTGTAAGAAAATTGAATGCAGCTACTTTATTGAAATATTAACATGCTGTGATGGAAGTGTTGGATTTGAAGGAGACATAGGTTTAAATATCTCATCATGAAGCTCCTTAGGCAGTTGGAGGTAAGTCCTCCTTTGTATGGTGATGAGAATAGTAACTCCACAGAGGGGTTTTTTAAAAATCCTTCATATTATTTCCTAGCCATATCTTCGTAATTCATAAATTAACCTGAAAAGATGACCCTGTCCTGGTTCAAGTTTCTAGCCACACACTGTGTCCTAAACTACAAAGAAATATGTAGGTTTTAAAAAATCTACAGATCCATGTATTTTTTGCCTGAAAAGATTACTTTGAACCTAGATAAGTGAAACGTTCTTAGTTGTAGTTTCCATTTTTTCCCCCATTAGCCAGTGTTGCAGTTGCATGTCTCTTCATAACACGGCTATACTTGGAGAGTTGGAATTCTTGTTTTCATCCCATAGTATTTGATTAGTGAAGCCAACAAAGGATTCAGAATCTTCTGAATAATTGATAGTATCCAGAGATCAGTTTCTAGAACAGTGAAACTACAGCATGCTGAAAGTTAATCTGAATCTTGATTAAGGCAGTACAGATCTGATATCAGTCCTCTTGATTGCCATTTCTCCAGACTGCTTGCTTATGTAACCAGCAGGTGGCAACAGTATGCTTTCTACAAGTTGATCGTATTTAAAAAGGAATTGAGTGGACTGTCCTGTATAATCGCAGTTCCTTGTATGGCCCCCTTATGCTATTAGTGATGTGAAAATGGGATTAGGTGTGAAGTAAGTGTAACTTGATGTAGTTAGTAAGACACTTTATATCTGAGTAGAAATATGAATTGAATGTAGGTAGGACTCTTTCCACTGAATTACACAGGTAGATTTGACATTTCTCAAGGTAAGCAAACTAAGTCCAAACATAAGGCAAAATTGTACAGAGAGAGAGAGAGACAGACAGAGAGACAGAGAGACAGAGAGAGAGACTGAATTAGCAGCCCAGAAGTCATTGAAGCCACTTCTTGGGGTCTGATCTAATTGGCATGAGTGATGCATTACCACTTAGTACATGTGTGTTCTGTACATTATCTGAAATGCAAAACATCTTTTCATATGCTGCAGTATAAATCAGTATTCATTTGTGATTGTGATCTAAAAAGTGCATACACTCCCTCATTCACATTTGCTTCTTCTCCATTCCACATGCTGCTACCAAGAATACTGGAACATTTTATTGTTGTCTCCTGTAGCTAACTGACCTAGGAAGGACAGTTGTATTGAGGTGATCATTCCTTGAGGTTGATGCAGTGCCAGAAACACTCTTGTGCCTTGAAAATCTGGTGAGGGCTGTTGCCATTTCTATATCCTGAAATGAGGGATGTGGTTCTGCTGTGGCTTCCTGTGCTGCTCCTCTGAGCTTTATAAAAGTGTTGGGGGAGATGGTAGATGTAGCTGCAAAGTTTCTGCATGCCTTTTTCTTAGGCTTTGAAAGTACCATGTTATTTTCTCCAGCTGCAGGAGCTGGTGCTGCCAGTTTCTTGGAGACTCTTGTTCCCTGCCTGAGGTTACTAGCTAAATGCATAATTGTTAAGGATTTAGCAGATACAGAAGGGTGCTTTCACTGCTTTGGAAGGCACACAATTGTAGGTGGACTCCCTAATGAATTTCCATCAAGGCATGTTTCCACGTCGCTAGTCTTCTATAATAGTTTCCAGTAGAGAGGATTAGGACAGGAAAAATTGCTGATGTTTGGTCTCCTGGGCACCTAAAATTTTAATGCTGGCTCAGGGAATTTAAAGCATTTTAACAATGTGTACAAAGAACTCACTGCTACAACTGTAGGCATGAGGAGATTGGCCACAGGCGGGAGGGAAGATGATGGTAGAATTCCATTCTTCTAAGTGTTTTGCATCCAGTACTAAAAATGCAGCTTTCATGTTGCAACCAAAAATCCACACTCCAGGATCTAGAGGAACAGAGTTACCCCATTCTCTACCCATGGTAACAGTGAGGGATGATAGAACAAGGCTGTAAGAAGGGATTCTTGGTTGTTTACTTTCTATTATAGAAGCAGAGTACTGAGATTTGATGGTATAATTAGTGAAATTCTTTTATTTCTTTAGCAATGTTATATTATGTTTTTTCTTGGTTGCCTAAGATGAAAACAAAATTCCATTATAGAAAGAGCACTGGGAATTTGACATATTAAAGCCACATTTTCTAAGCGTAGATACTAACTTGGTTGCCAATCGAAAACCCCCACTGCCCCAGTATGAGGATTACTAATCTGTATGATGTTCTCTGTTGTTCTGTGAGCTGATTAATGTGGTCCATGTAAAGCTGAGAAGGAGATGGGTGGGAGGCAGACTGGATTTTTCTCACCGAACTAAATAAAACTTTAAGGGCAGAACCCAAATAAAGCCATCTGTCAGTAGAATGGAGAGCAGGTCAATTTCATCCCACAGCAGATTATATGTGGAGTAATTTTGTCATTTCAGGGCTTGAATTCCTTATTTTTACTACAAATATTTCCCAGGTGCCAACATTGTCATGTGATTTGGACATACCTTAATCTTTGCTGGAATGCAAACTGCTGTTATGTCGCAGGTTTCCTCTTGTGAGTTTCAAGGCAGACAATTGTAAATATTCCAGTTTCAAATTTTTCTGGTGCTTAATGCTTAGGCTATGGGATAATTCACATGTAAGGTAGGCCATCAGTTAAATAAACCGCTGGGTTGTTAAGACCCTTAACAACCAATCAGCCCAGGTTTGCACATCATGTTCTGCAAGAGACAAATGAGCTGTTCATAGACTGTTGAGTAAAAACAGATGTACTCTCTTCTGCTTCTTTATATCAATTCATGGGTAATTTAAACAAATGAACCAAGTCTGTAGGTGTATCAGATTTGACTATGGAAGTTCCCTAGCAACATTGTTAGCTTTTCACTTAAAACAATTTACTCATTTATTTCATATCTGTGCCATCTCATAGCCAAAGTTATCTGGGAAATTTACAGTAGTACATTAAAACAATGCAATAAAATACCATAAAAACTTAGCAAAAGAAACAAAAATTAAAATCCACTGGGAAAAAATGCAGTGAAGAATGCCCTTTAAAAAAAATCAACACCTGGGATAGGTAATCCCCTTCAGCCCCTGGATAACCCAAGTTTATCTTTAAAAGCCTTTTAAATCTTGAGATCTTTCATAAAGGTCCATCAGGCCACAGTGGGGAGGACATTCCATAGATGGGGGTCCTCCCACTTGTTGCCATCCTCCAAGCCTCCCTTAGAGTTGACAGTAAGAGGAAGTTGAGCAAAGTGTCTGGGTAGATTGCAGTTGAAGGAAGCACTCTTGATAGATCATGTAGTACAAGTTGTAATATAAATCCTTTCCCATTTACCTGAAAGCTTGCTAGTTGCTAGAAATATGCTGCCTTCAAGGATTGAGTTGTCCACTCTCCTCTCTCTCTTAATTTGAAAGGAACCAGCTAGGAATTTAAACTTTTAATGGCTCCTAAAGCATACATATTCCATTGAGGTAAATACTTGGTGGAAAAAATGCATTGGCTTTTGAATACCCTTTTAGAACAATAACTTACTGAGTCTTCTCAGTTGCTTCTGATAACACTTCAAAAGTAAATAGCACCTATAGATTGAAAAGGTCTTGTTCTGTCAAAATGATTTGGAATAAAATGATGCTGCTCTTACACATTCTGAAGTAGTGATGTAAGGTTATATGTATTACTGCAATCAAAATATTATGGATTTACTAATAATTGACAGATAAATCTTACTAAAATAAGCATTAAGGAAAACACAGCCAATTTGGATCTCTTTATAAAAGCTAGATAAGGATGTTTGAAGAGGAACACTTTTGCTTCCCCTGCTTTGAATTCAAGGGCAGTGGGGACAGAAGCATAATATCTAAGCCACAGAGCAGGACTGGAGATCCTCTGGGCAATGGGCTAAATGCAGACCCCTGGACTCACCCAAGGCCATGCCCTCTTTGGCTGTGTTCCAAGCTTTTGATTCTAATCAGGCCTGCTGTATAATCCAGCTACAAAGCTGGTGGAGGGAACCTTGCACAACTTGGTAAAGGAAAATTCCTTGATGTAAGTGGTGTTTTTCCTATTGTGAACTAAAGGAAAGTAGGTATCACAACTATCAATCTGGCCATGTCTATAAAGGGAGCCAGAACAATTTGAACAAAATGTTTTCTCTAGCCAAAAAGTAATGACTTTTAAGTCCTATTGATTTCAGTGTTACTCTTAAGTTCAGCAGGTGTACATAGGATTGCTCTGTAAATCTCTGAATAGTATGATTTTATATGGTAAGTTAAGTCATCGCTAAATAGTAAAATAACTTCGGGCTTCCATGTATTTCAAAATTTCCCTTGGTTGGTTTTGAACATTTGTTTTCTCTTCCATACATGTCTTCCTAAACCTAGTTTCCTTTCTCTCTCTCTCTCTCAGCAATGGCACCAGCATGATATCATTGATCATTCCCCCCAAAGATCAGATTTCACGAGTGGCAAAAATGCTAGCTGATGAGTTTGGCACAGCATCAAATATTAAATCTCGAGTAAATCGTCTTTCAGTCCTTGGCGCCATTACATCTGTACAGCAACGACTAAAACTTTATAACAAAGGTAATAAGTTGTACTGGTTGCACCTTGAATGATTTAATACAGGCTTGGCTATCACCTAATGTTACTCCCTGTTTGCTTGGGTGTTTTCCAGTACCTCCAAATGGTCTGGTTGTTTACTGTGGAACAATTGTGACAGAGGAAGGAAAAGAGAAGAAAGTCAACATTGATTTTGAACCCTTCAAACCAATAAATACATCATTGTATTTGTGTGATAATAAGTTCCATACAGAGGTAAGCAGCATCCACCCCACAATAGCATACCTGTCTGCCATGATGCATCCAGCTAGTATGTGTACATATTGGTTATTTAATCGGTTTACAGTATTTTTCATGATTTCTTGGCTGTATTAATATAGGTAACTAAGTATTAATTATGTATACAATGCACTGTATTTTTTCAAATTTTGAATTCATTCTTTTCATTTACTGTAGTCCTAAACACAATCATGTACTTGTTCACCAAATGTCCAGTACTTTCCAGAAACAAGGGCTAATAATGGGATCACAACTATGTTTTTTTTCCCCCAGGATGAGAGCGTGATGCTAATGGGTAGCTTTTATACAAATATAAATGAATATAATACAAATTCTAATAAATATAATTAATTTTTAAAAGGTAGACATCGGGCCATTTACTATATTGCGACAGGTCACAACTGGTTACTTAAGACTCAGAGCTCTGTGGTGAGTGCCTGCTACCAATTTGAATGCCCGCTCTCAAGGCAACACTGTCACATAATGCAAACAAAAGTGGCAGGGGTTCTATGAAGGTTAAGCAATGCTTACAGTATCATACAACGGACTGTGTCGTATGCAGTGGTGGGTTAACTCTGGCATGGTTCCTCTGTCCAGGTTCAATCAACATGGTAAGGCCACGGTAACAGCCGCCTTTGGCTTGCAGATGCAAAATGGCAGGTGGCACACAGTGCAGAATCCTCTAGAGCTAATTAACCCACAGTGGTTTGTCATCGGAGTGTGAACAGACTGGTTTATCCACTTTAATTCAGAAATAATGCTGGATATATTAAGTCTGTGGTGCCTTGATCATTTTACACTAGTATACCACTGTTGTTGGTGCAGTATGCACAACTGTGAAAATTAGTTCCCACTCTTTCTGCATACATTCCAAATTATGTGTAAGGCAGTATTCATGTGTTTGCTTTTTTATCCATTCCAGTTCAAATTGATAAAAGATGAATTGTGTGTTTTCTCCATACTGAAACAAATAAACAGTTGCCCATGTCCCTTTCATGTTATTTCTGACTGAATTATTTGCCAGGATTCTCAACTGCTACTGGGAATCCTTATAGTCATGGACAATTCATTTTATATAGTGTTCCACATGGTGGATTTGTGAAGGCCTTTAAAAATTGCTTACATTATGTCACATTCTTCGTCGTGGCCTCTGTGCATCACACATATGGGTACTGCACCTGCGCAGTGCCTTTGGCCGGAAGATTGATAGCTAACAGTTTTTGGCGGGAAGCTCCGCTCCCCCTCCCCCTTGTGGCCTATAAAGAGTGGAGCGTCCGCCATTTTGTTCAGTCTTTGCGACCGCTGTTCGCTGTGCCTCGTGCCGCTTTTGACTTTCACTTTGGCTATTCTTGGTTCTCTCCTTATATATTGCCCTTATACTACTTTCCCCTTACTTCGTTTCCCGCTTCTGTGTAGTTTTCTCTTGTTATTTCTTCTTCGATCTATCAAAAAAAAAAAAAAACCCCAAAAAATATATACTTACCCTCTGCACTATCTCTCTTTTTCTTCTTTCTTCTGCGATGGCACAGCGAGCGGCTTTCCGCAAATGTGCGGACTGCGGGTCAAAAATGGCACCTACTGATCCGCACGACCTATGCCTCCTCTGCCTTGGAGTGGGGCATAGGACGGATAAGTGCGTTCATTGCCTAGCCTTCTCAAAGCAGGCTAGGAAGAACCACGAGAACCGGCTTCGGAGGCTCCTTTGGGATAGGGCTCTGATGCAATCAGACCCGCTTGTCTCTATCCCAAAACCTGGCTCCGCTTCTGTGGCTCCACCCTCACGCCCTTCGGATGAAGGTGCGTCCGCTTCGGTGGCCCCCTCTGCCTCAACAAAAAAGAGGCATGAGAAGCAGAAGCATGCCGAAGAGAAGCCAGCAGGCCATAAGAAGGCCAGAAAGGAGAAGGCCTCTAAGCCTCCAAAGAAGGCTAAGTCCACAGACCGTTCCCAACATCGGGACTCGGGGCCGACGGGACCCCTCGGTTCCGGTGGCGGTTACGATACCGACCCCGCCCGAACCGATCCTTCAAGAGGCCATGCGGGTTACCCCTCAAGGGTCTCCCCGACGTGCAGTCGACCTCCCTCCTGCACCCCTTCCAACTCCACGGGGTTCTATCTCGGATGGGGAAATCCAGGACTCCCCTCCTAGAGCGAAGTCACCGACACTGATGCCCGCGGTGACATTGGAGACAGAAGCTGGCCTGTCCCCACCAGGGAATCGGAGGAGCCGCTCGGTAGAGCAACGCCCGGAGAGTTGGCGTCGTCCCTACTACCAACCTTGGGGAGACCCGCTCTCTGTGGGGTACTACCCTGCTCCCAGGGCGCGATCCTCACCTCTGCCCCGCGACCAATCACGGTCTGTGGATTCGAGGAGGGTGCCACCTCGATCCCCGCAAAGCGGAAGCAGCTGCTCCTTCTCACCGGCGGAGTCATCATCTTCTGCCCCACCATACTATGGTGCTGATTCGGATGACTCTGAAGTAGACTCAGCCTCCCCGGATGTTGTGGTGACATCCCAGGATCCTGCATCACCCGATGAGTTGCACGGCTCCTTCGTGGAGCTGATGTCGAGGCTTGTCCAGTCCCTGGACATCGACGCTGCCCAGCGCCCGGGACCGTCAACGGACAAGTTTTACGACGTCATCCGCAGGGAGCAATCGACCTCCATCGTTCTGCCACTTATAACTACCCTACGGCAGGCGATGACGCAGCCCTGGGACCTACCTTCGCATCCTCAGCTGACGTCCAGGAGATATGAGTCTATGTACAGGGTCCGGGAAGAAGACATCCCCTTCCTGCTAAAGCATCCGAAACCAAACTCGGCAGTCGTCGAATCCTCACAAGGCAGAGAGGCGAGGGGACATACGGCGCCGAGGGATAAGGGGGGCCGGAAAATAGATTCCCTGGCCAGGCGGGTCTATGCTGCCTCGGGCTTAGGACTTCACATTTCCAACTATGAGGCGACGTTGGCACGATATCAATATTTTATTATGCAGCGCCTCCACAATGTCGCCTCCACCCTCCCAGACCACCAGGGTGACCTTGCGAAGGTCCTAATCAAAGAAGCCATGCAGGTCGCAGTGCAGCAGTTGTCCACGGCACGTCACCACGTGGACACTGACTCCCGAGCCTTGGTCGGTGCCGTTTACCTCCGAAGACACGCATGGCTTCGGAATTGTAATTTCCCGGAGGAAACCAAGCGGCGAATGGAAGAGATGCCTTTTGATGGTTCTGGGCTCTTCCATTCATGTACCGACCACAAACTCAAGAAACTGCATGAGTCAAGAATGACGGCACGTAGGATGGAGATCCAGTCACATAGCAGACGTAAGTGGTCCTGGAATCGGCCATCCTACAGGCAGTCATACCAGCAGAGACAGCTGCCGCAACACCGCCAGCAACAACAGCATCAACAGCACCACCACCCTCAGCCCCAACAGCGCTTCCAACAGGGCCGCTGTCGTTTCAACGATCAGAGGCAGCGCTGACGGGACTGGCGAACCACTCCTCATGCTCCTCTAATACCCACCCCCCTCTCATCTGGGGATCGGCTCTGAAGCCGACTCCCCGTTTGGGAGTCCATCACATCTGACCGGTGGGTGTTATCCATTGTTCAACACGGCTATCGAATAGAATTCGACATCGTTCCTCCATCGAGTCCGATCCGGTCTACTTCATGTTCACCGGTACTTCTCGACGAAATACATCAACTTCTCCTTAAAGGAGCGATTCGTCAAGTATTTCCATCTGACGGACTCCACGGATTCTATTCCAGATACTGTACGGTCCCCAAGCGGGACGGTGGTCTACGTCCGATTTTGGATTTACGGGACTTGAATAAGTTTATTATACCAAGAAAGTTTCGTATGACCACCCTTCAAAACATTTTGCCGTTGTTAAGGAGAGGGGATTGGTTCGCCTCACTGGACCTGAAGGATGCCTACTTTCATATTTCAATTCATCCAACTTACAGGCGTTTCCTTCGTTTTGCTGTTGCAAACCAACTTTATGAGTTCACAGTTTTACCCTTTGGACTGGCTATGGCTCCGAGAGTTTTTACCAAATGCATGGCTCCTGTCTGTGCCTTCCTACACCTTCAGGGCATACAAATTTACCCGTACCTTGATGACTGGCTGTTGGTCTCGCAATCCAGAGAAGGACTCCTAGACACCATCCGTACAACCCGTACCTTACTAGATAGTCTGGGTCTACGTATTAATACAGAGAAATCTTCTCTTCTCCTGACACAGACGCTCACCTTCATTGGAGCCCGCTTGGATTCGACGTTGGAGAAAGCCTTCCTCCCTCAGGACAGATAGCAGACTCTCACTCGCCATATCCATCGAATTCGACGAGAGGGAACGGTTACGGCGAGATCCATCCAGAGGGTCCTGGGGTATATGGCCTCCTCAGTTGCCGTAGTTCCACATGCCATACTTCGGCTTCGCCCACTACAACTATTCTTCAACAAGGTGTATCATCCACAAAGAGACCCACAGTCGAAACGGATTCGGATCCCGTCTTCCGTGCTCCACTCCCTGTGCTGGTGGCTGAAACCGACCAATCTCGTGATGGGAGTCCCCTTCAGGGCACGACCTCCTTCGATAACTCTCGGTACCGATGCGTCTCTCCTAGGATGGGGGGCGACATGCTCTGGCCTGTCTACCCAGGGAATGTGGACTTGTCTAGAATCTACGAATCATATCAACTTCCTAGAGCTGCTGGAAGTCTTCAAAGCCCTTCGTTCTTTCGAAGACCTCCATCATCGGATATAACTTCGGACGATATAGCGACCGTTTTTTATCTGAACAAACAGGGAGGGACGAAGTCACCGACCTTAGCCAGGCTTTCTATGAGAATTTGGGACTGGTGCATTTAGAGACACATTACTCTGATGGCCGTTCATCTGGCTGGCACAGACAACGTGCACGCAGATCTTCTCAGCAGACACATCTTCACTTCTCACGAGTGGGAACTAGATCCTCGTATGCGCAACCACCTTTTCAGGCGCTGGGGGTTCCCCGATGTGGACTTACTCGCTACTTGACGGAACAGGGTATGCGAGACTTACTGTTCGAGAGCGGGAATCGGACAAGCATCCCTAGGGGACACATTCATGATCCCTTGGGACAACATCCACTTCTATGCTTTCCCTCCGATCCCTCTTCTGATGAGGGTCATAGCAAAGATAGTGAGTGACCGTGCATCGGGGATACTAGTTGCCCCTTGGTGGCCATGTCAAGCATGGTTTGCGAAACTGCTCGACATCTCCCGCGGGGAGTTTCTTCATCTTCCGGCACTTCCATATCTTATAACGCAAATGGACGGCACACTCCATCACCTGGACTTGCTCTCATTGAACCTGACAGCGTGGCGGATTCGATGATTGACCTTCCATTGGGGCCGACGACAGATTCGAGAGCCTCGAATCCGACAGCTTCTATTAATCCATCGGTATTGACGATTACTTCGACCGCTTCGGTTCCGATTCTCGAATCCAACCATGCGGGTGCCTCTCACTGCCACAGTCTCTCCGTACCATCCGGTTCGAGACAGACCCCGTCGAATTCGAACCCAACGCTCTTGCACCCTGAGATTCAGCATATTATCGACTCTGCCCTAAAGCTGTCCACAAGGAAGTCATATACGGCTAAATGGAAACGTTTTTCCACCTTCGCTGAGTCTCATTCGTTCTCCCCACTTGTCTCATCAATCAAACAAATTCTTCAGTTCCTTCTGGAGTTGCATCACTCTGGACTGAAGCCGTCTTCTATTAGAGTGTATACGGCCACAATAGCCTACTACCGTGGCTTAGTTGACGGATCATCCCTATTTTCTCATCCTATCCTCAAGAGATTTTTGAAAGGACTGTATAATCTTAATCCATCGATTAGACCGGTTATGCCACGTGGAGCCTTTCTGTAGTTCTACAGCCCTTATGAAGGCCCCCTTTGAACCTTTGGCAACTGTGGATCTCCGATTAGTTTCGTGGAAGACGGCGTTCCTTGTAGCTGTCACGTCAGCCCGGAGGGCCAGTGAACTTTGTGCCCTCCACATCGACCCTCCTTATCTAAACTTCCACAGAGAAAAGGTCGTTTTACGTCTCGACCCATCTTTCTTGCCCAAAGTCTCTACACCTTTCCATACAGGACAAGACATTGTACTGCCTGCCTTTTTTCCATCGCCGTCGAATCCCTTGGAAAGATCTTTGCACTCCCTCGACGTTCGGCGTTGTTTAGCCTTTTATCAATCACAAATAGAGTCTATTCGGCAATCCAATTAACTGTTCATCAAATATTCGGCTAGAGATCAGGGTGACCCAGTCACTCCACAGAGGCTTTCTAAATGGATAGTCCACACTATTGTCTTGTGTTATCAGTTAGCTAAGCTCGAATTGCCTTCAGTTCCTCGAGGCCATTCTACTAGAGCTGTCACTACATCTTCTGCATTCGTATCCGGGGTTCCGATTGATGACGTCTGCAGAGCCGCTACTTGAGCGAATCCCTGCCCTTTCGCCAAGCATTACCATCTCGATGTTCGGGCTCGACGGGACTGCTCCTTCGGTAGAGCTGTTCTCTCCTCGTCCTTCGATGAGGACACCTTCCCTCCTCCTTTGATGGTAAGCTTGTTAATCTACCCATATGTGTGATGCACAGAGGCTACGACGAAGAAAAGCAGGTTGCTTACCTGTAACTGATGTTCTTCGAGTGGCCATCTGTGCAGTCATACAACCCGCCCGCCGGCCCCACTCGGTGTCGGTGAGTGGATACATCGACAGCTCAATGTCGATGAGAGAGGGCACTTTCGGTACTGACCAAAAAAAAAAAAAAATCCATTAAGATACCGTACGTTCGGTCGCAAAGTCTGAACAAAATGGCGGGCGCTCCACTCTATAGGCCACAAGGGGGAGGGGGAGCGGAGCTTCCTGCCAAAAACCATTAGCTATCAATCTTCCGGCCAAAGGCACTGCACAGGCGCAGCACCCATATGTGTGACTGCACAGATGGCCACTCGAAGAACATCAGTTACAGGTAAGCAGTCCGCTTTTCTTGACAGTGTTTTTAGCCTAATGTCCCAAGTCAGCGAGCTGGGATGGCGATTGCTGCTTGGAGCCTGTTGCATCTGTGTGTATTGTTGTCCTGGCTTTGAAGGTTTTGATGCTACAACATGTTGCTACTTACCTGCTTAAAGATAGATTTACCTTAGTTGAGTAATTGACACCAGAATACAAACCTCAGATATACTGCATCTTTATGAAAGTGTCTTCCATTAGGCATTCTTTTGAGCATCATCACCTTAGCTGCTTCTTTTCCCCCATTTGCAAAATGATGCCTGCCTTTTACTTGTGCATCACTTGAGCTTGGGTAGGGATATTTTTTCTAGAGCGTGTCCTTTAATTTCTTAATCAAGTCAGCTTCTGATTATTCCTTCTTACCTAGCTTTTGTGTGTCATTATACTCTGAACCAACTTGGCAGCACTTCTAGCAAGTTTAAAAGAGCTAACTACACATGAAGAAGAATCTATTAACAGTAATTCTGGACGACTGTAAAGGAACCTAATTAAATAGACGTTTAAATGAGTTTGCAATGAAACAAAATAGATTCCTGGAATTTATAGTTTGAAATGGATACAACACGTTGGTTCTGGCTAATTTTTTTCCAGCTTGATCTGTAGTGTGCTCTTGTCTTAAATGTTAATATTATTTGTTGGCTTAACATCTACTTCTGCTGTGTTGATTTTCAGGCCCTTACAGCACTACTGTCAGATGACAGCAAATTTGGTTTCATTGTAATAGATGGTAGTGGTGCACTCTTTGGAACTCTTCAAGGAAACACCAGAGAGGTGCTGCACAAATTCACTGTGGATCTCCCGAAGAAACATGGTAATGTATAAAAATGTGAGGCAAATGCGACAGTTTGCCTCCAGAAAAGGCAATTTGGGGGAGGTGACGTTTATAAGCAGTTTTGTGATTTGTGGGCTTTGAAGCTAAGTATCCACACTGTCGTGTCTATGTTATTTGGGTAACTTCAGTACAATAAGACATGGATGGGCGGCTTTTAGCCTTCTAGGTGTTTGTTGACTGCAGCTCTCATCAAATCTAAGCCACATAGCCAATAGTGAGTAAAGGTAGTAATTGTAGTCGAACAACCTCTGGAGTGTTACATGTTACCCACCCATGAAGTAAGATGTTGGTTAATTTTTCATTGTTTAAAGAATCACAGTCATTAGGTTCAAATCATTAGTTTTCTTTCCAAGAAGGCAACTGTGAAAGGTCTTAGGGCAGAATCCAATGGAGTACTTATGTCCTTCTGGTTTCCTTCCACCCTGCCAATACCCTCTCACCAATTATAGTGGGTTCTGCTGATTCCCTTGTGGAAAAGCGACCTACTATGTAATGTGAGAAAGACTGAACACTTCCTAGAGGAAACCCTAAAAAAGCATCAGCACTCATTTTGATGGCGCTCCCTTATGTTGGTGGAGCTCCGTTTGTTTGAGGGCATTCTAGAAGTGCAAAATCAATGTTGTACAAGTGGTTAGGGCCTCTTGTGCAGTGGAATTGGGGCCTTAAGAGAATTCGTGTGGGTGTAAATGCCTGGGATTCTGTCTTCGGTTCCACTGAAAGCTCTGCTGTATGAGAACCTAACTTTTGACTTGTGCCAGTTCCTGTAGCAAGAGATGTAATAAATGAGATTCAAACAGAATCTAAAAATGATTTTTAGAACATCTGGATTTTCAAAACATTCTACTTTTTCTAAAAGTGTTTTAAGCTGATATCAGTGCTATATGCTAGCATATGTAACTGTTTTTGGTTGCGTAGTATGCAGGATAATTACAAAGCTGGTACCATTGCATTAATAAATCAGTGTACTAGAGCAAAAAGCAAGTTTGTAATAAAGCAAGTTAACAAATGCAGTTCATATTCCTTGCAGCAAGATTATTAATAAATAGGCTTGGTTGCATAGGAAGAGCCCTCTTTGTCCTGGTTTCACCCAACAGTGCAGTTTAATAATTGCAGCTGAGTCACAAATCATAATCTGCATTGAACAAGTACCTTGGATTTTAATATGGGAGTTATTTTTGTGTGAACTTGTTTATGGTTTGACAAACATGGTCGAGGTTCTTAAAGGAAAGAAAAAGCTATTAAATATTCATTTAAATTAGTGTAAGTTTGGGAGATACATGGAGATGAAGCCCCATATTCATGAATATTTCATCCATTAATACTGCATTTTTCCTCTTGTCTCTCAAAGGAAGAGGAGGTCAGTCAGCTTTACGTTTTGCCCGTTTGAGAATGGAGAAGCGGCACAACTATGTAAGAAAAGTAGCGGAAACGGCTGTACAGCTGTTCATTTCTGGTGACAAGGTGAACGTGGCTGGTCTAGTGTTAGCCGGGTCAGCTGACTTCAAAACTGAATTAAGTCAGTCAGATATGTTTGATCAGGTAAGTGGAAGTGATCTTATTAGCACTATGTGGTTACATAACACTTTATACCTAATGGTTCTACCTTAGTAAGCTGATGAAGGTGACTGTAATCCATAGATATTACAGTAGAAGAACAGTCACTCTGGAAGGAGGAAAGGATCTGTGCAGGCATTAAAGAATGAGCCGTTCATTACTTTGAATACTTTCCACATCATTTATTGGATGTTCACAAATTACTGTGCATATATTTGTATTCTTTATACAACAAAGTAGGTTTGAAACATTCATCTTGCTACGACATAGCTAGGAGTTGCCCTTGTTTGCATTTACCACTGACTTTCACAAAAAAGGGTCCATATGTACTGCCTTTATTTGTAACCAGACCTGGATTCAGCAGTAACATTTTTTTCAGGCTTCTAGTCTAATATGTATGTATAACTACTCCTCTAACATCATATCTTTGTTTTATAGCGATTGCAGTCCAAAGTACTAAAGTTAGTTGACATCTCATATGGTGGCGAAAATGGATTCAATCAAGCAATTGAATTATCCACTGAGGTCCTGTCTAATGTGAAATTCATTCAAGAAAAGAAACTAATAGGTATGAATTTTAAAAGATCCAACTGTTCTGTTCCACACACAAGAAATGTGTCTCTAAAATTTTGTGGAAGTATTGTTACTTCCACGAAAGAAAATGTTCTTTCACACTATTGCAGAATTTTTTTAAAAAAAGGATTATTTAATGTGCTTGTATTATTGGCCATCAATTACTGTAACCATAGACCTCATCTTAAAATGTTCATTAGATCTTATTTTTAACCAGTATACTGCATACTAGTTCACCAGCTAACATGTTCTTTAGAAATGAATTACATACGTGAAAATTCTTGCTGAAGAGAAACTCAGGACTGATCAGTACCAGTTTCAATTAGATTGGATACTTCTATTTTACATACAATCTGATATAAACTCAGATTTTATCAAATTCTTTGCCTCTTCTGTCAATTCCTCTTGGTACTTTGAATGTATCCATGAAAAGTGTGATTGCCTCTGCTTTCACTGGTAACCACATCTGTTTAGAAGGAAAGAAAATTGCAGCTAGATTAAGTTTGTAATTAGAGAGAACTTCATAGAGTGAGTTATTCTGAATCAGGTCCTACAAAGTGATAAAACCTACAAAAACACCAGGTCAGTAGACATGTAAGATATACTTTTTTCTGAGACTTACAATAGATGTGCAAGACAGTCTTTTTTGTATGGTGGAATGTGGGTTATTTAATACAGGACAACTAGGTTGCATATGCAGCTGTCAGTTGGGCTTTTCATGTCATGCAAATCTGGTGAGCGTGGGTTATGGAAGGGTCAAACAACCTCACATAACTTTAGAACAGGTCATAGATTGCACCAGACTTGTTTTATCTTCACATTAATCCATTCTTGCCTGATTCACATGACTTGACAATCCCACACAAGTGTTTTTGTTACGAATACTCTCCTTTCCTTTCTTGGATGTGGTCGGTCTCTCTCTCTCTCTCTCTCTCTCTCTCTCTCTCTCTCTCTCTCTCTCTCTGTGTGTGTGTGTGTGTGTGTGTGTGTGTGTGTGTGTGTACCACTACCACCAGGAATTTTAATTCCAATCTTATTAATCAACCTTCCACAGTAATGTGCCCAAGCTGTAAAGCTCCTTCATTGGACTGTGTGGTCCTCTGGATGAGATGCTGGTATTCAAACAGCCTATGACTTTGAATTAACAATAAACAAAATAATTTATTTGTAAAATAAGTGTATTGGTTTCAAGGTGTTCAGTAACTTATTTTCTTAGAGCATGGAACAGTATGTATTAAGAACTTCTAACTGAAGTATTACACTCTTTCCCTTCACAATCACCCTGCACTCTTCACACACAGATCCTCCTCTCTCCTGAATGCACTTTAACCAGTCCTGATTTTATTTATCTCAGTTTGATCTCTCCCTCTCTGCACTCAGGTTTCTGCCAGCTTCTATCTCACACACCCCTTATAATGCTTGACAATATTAGGTTTTGACTCTCCCTAGTTGCTAATACGCTAATACACTTGTACATCCACCAAGTATTCTGCTTCCTTCTTTATGATCTTAAGTGATTTTAATCTTAACAGCACTACGTAAGATTCTAGTGAGAAGGCTGCCTCTCCAGAGCCTGCAGACTGCTGGCAGACCACAACTCTGACTATTAATTGCTGATAGACCACGACTGACTGACTGATCTACTTCTCTCTCCTCACACACCTCCAAGCTCTACCTAGACACCGTCAGTCACCAACCAGTCACCTCACTCACTCATCCCCCTCTTTTACCCTTCTTGGTCTACTGAAACTTACTAACATTTAAAGGACCATGGTCTCTGTAAATCATTACAGTTTTATATTCAGAATAGTGGCCACATGTACTCCATATATCCCACAACCTCATAGTGGGCTGCCATGTAGTAAGGCTTTTTTTTGGGGGGGTGGGGGGGCTGGGCTACCTGTTTAACATGGTCACTCAAAAGCACCAGTAAAAATTGTTATCCATAACCACAATGCAGCTTGCAGAGTTGAGGTTTGTAGTTGCATTATTCCTGAATTAGGTACTATTGTGTTTGCTTCTGTTGAGCAGGCATGTTGGAAATAGTTTCTTAGGTGCCTGGTCACCTGTCTGCATCTTCCCTTCAAACATAGTTATCAAATCTGTGAACACTGAGTGCATCACTGCCAGTGAGTCAGCAGTGCGCATCTTGCCAAGGTGATTAACCACCAATCTTTCTGAATGCCTCCCTCATGCCACAGTAACTAAATTAAGTTCTCTTTGTGATGCAGACAGCATTGTTTTAGAATATGCATGGCATGTTCATTTCCATCTCTGGTTTGCATTAAATCTAGGCCGATACTTTGATGAAATCAGCCAGGACACAGGGAAGTATTGTTTTGGTGTTGAAGACACTCTAAAAGCCTTAGAAATGGGAGCAGTAGAGATTCTGATAGTTTATGAGAACCTGGATATAATGAGATATGTTCTCCATTGCCAAGGCACAGAAGGTATGTGGTTCCCTCTGACCAAATATTGGAATATGAGGAATTAACATTTATTTATTTATTTATTTATTTATTTATTTGCATGGATTGATATAGACCACTCTGAAAGTTTTCTTCTTGAATATCCTTTTGCTGATGGCATGTATGGAAATCTATAGAGTCAGAAAAGCTATCTTCTGATGGTAGACATGCATCTAAAGATCAGTGTTTAAAAAAACAAACAAACCCAGAAAGGTCTCTATAACTGGTTTTACATATAATGCCTATGTGTGTCCCCTAGGTAGTTGTTTAGAAACACCTTGAATTAAAGTAGTGAGATGAGTGTTTAACTATTCTTAAAGGATACATCCGTATATATTTGAATTTACTTGTATCTGCACTTGCAATGCTGCAAGTAAACCTGGTTGTACTCCAGTGGATGCAGGAGCTGTGAACTGAATCCCTTTACAGAATGTATACCTAGAGTTTGCTGTTTCCTTTCTTTCCATCTGTATTGACCCATCTACAAAGGAACAAGCTCCCTTCAGTGAGTAAACATTGCAAGTGACAGAAGAGGGAGAGACGTGCAAGACTGGGTTACTCCTTACTTTGGCTCATATTCCCAGAAAAAGATGAGCCACTCTTGCCACCTCATACTCATCTGTTTTGGGTAGTCACAATTCTTGCCTAAGCAGGAAAAATGGGAGAGAAGCTGCTGTCAGAATGACTGGCCCACTTTTTGTAGCAACAGCATTTTCTGGTATAAGGAAAAACAAAGAACAGTGCTTGGCAGGCTATCAGAGTTAGTAATAATAGGTGAGCCCTGCAGAATTGCCAACTTCCTTCTTAACTAAGCATTAGTAAAACATATTCTGGTCTCTCCCAGATTTGCAAATGGGAGAAGAAGAAAGTGAAGCCGTGTTTCCCTCATTCAAAATAATAGCTAACTTGGATTAAGCTAGGAATTCTTTCCCACATCTCCTGTCTTGTTTAGCCAAGATGACATTCTAAGCATTCATTATCCCCACAGAACTGTATGTGACATTTGAACTTAAAGTTCATGCCTCCTCAAAAAGTAAATAAAGTTTCTAGTCACAGTGATGTCTGTCTTTGCACTAGTGTATATAGTTAAGCAATCTATTTGTCTTTGGGAAATTGTACTATTATACCTCATGATGTTTCCACTTCCACAGAGGAGAAGATTCTCTATTTGACACCAGAACAAGAAAAAGATAAATCCCACTTCACAGATAAAGAGGTATTTCTAAAAATCCACTCCTTTTTCTTATGTTACCTACGAAGCAATCAAGATGATGAGGAACAAATCACTGTTCAGTTAATCTGCCTCTCGGTTTCCTTGTGGAGAGAAAATGGGCCAATGCATGTATGTAACCCTGAGTGTTTTGGAAGTCACACAGGACACTGATAAAATACATTTCTTAGAAGTGTGCTCTTCAGAGCTCAAGAATTGAAACAATACTAATCCTTTGCCCTTGATATTCAAATATCATGGCTAAATTCTTGACTATTTGGCTGCAGTTCATGGAATCCGTTGTCTTCATCCCTCAGCAGTACTGGGAACAGTTCAGAAATACAGACACCCTACATAAGGATGCATATCCATCACTGTTGTTCCCTTTCAAATATTCATATGATCACAGAACCCTTCCAGTTGGTAATAATGGAATGAAACATATGGGAAGCTCCCATTCTTTATCCTTCTTGCTCCAGCAGGCAAGAGCAAGGATCTTAGCAAAGAGAACTAGCATAGCAGCTTGGGCCCCACATCACTGTTCTGTGATCATGTGGGACAAGAGGGTCTTTTAAATACTAGGGTCCCAACCACTTAAGGTTTGAAGGGTAATAGCACTCTGAATTGCGGTACCTCTGAAGCAGTCATGATGAGTTAGATGAACACAGGAGACTTGCTAAAAAAATCCATCTTGATAAGATGCTACCAGCTTTGTATACTGTGAAAGGGGAACAGAAGGCATAATCACACCAGCCACTTCTCAGGTCCATAACTCTATTGGCAATAGGTTACTTAGTTCCCAGTAGAGTAAAAAGAATGTTGGCAAATTAACATTCTGTACTCATTTGAAGTACAGAAAATACATTTGGTTATAATTTCTCTTCAATTTTCATCTTTAGACTGGACAAGAACATGAGCTGATAGAAAGCATGCCTCTGCTTGAGTGGTTTGCTAACAACTACAAGAAATTTGGAGCCACGTTGGAAATTGTGACAGACAAGTCACAGGAAGGATCTCAGTTTGTGAAAGGATTTGGAGGAATCGGAGGTAAGTGGAAGGGGAAACTGATAGTCTGGACACTGCTTTATAGATTGCTTTGAAGTGGTGTCAGAGAAGAGAATAAGTTAGCCAGAAGGCCAGAAGTCATGATAATGTACTGTAATGGATCATGTAATGGGCATGATCACAGTAGCTGAACTCTATTCATGAGTGATCTGCTCTATGTCCTCCTCCCTGAAAGTGCTAGGGATGGTACACTACCCCGAAGTTGTTCCTTCTAGAGATCAGGAGCCCCTGGGCCTCTGAAGATCTTGAAGAAGGTTTCACATAGCTGAAAGGAAAGAAGATACGCACTACAATTTTATGAAATTGCCTGCTTGAGTTGGAAAAACTTTATGTTATGGAATAGCTAAACAAGACAAAACATTTTATTAGAACTGGGCCATCATATTTCTTCTATTGTAATAAAAACAGCAAATAGAGAACTTCAATAATGCAACTTGTTCCATAATTTGATTCCCGTATCTAATGGTCATATTTCATTTTCTGAGAGGTTTTCCATCTAATCTACTTACCAGGCTACAGATGACTTAAGTAATTGCCATATCTCTTCCTAATGCTGTACCAGAGGTCTTCATCTGGCTTGAATAAAATATTTTTTTCAGTATGCTCCTTCCTGTGTAAAATCTAAACAAAACTCCGCAATGCCACAGTTGAGCCTAGTGGCACATTGAATCCAGCAAATCAAGTTCAGGTTCCTGCAGAATGCTTTAGTTCTTCTTTGTGGTCTCTGTGCATCACTCATATGGGCTCTGCGCCTTCATGGAACCTGCTGTCAGGAAGTTTATGCAGCGAAATGTCAGTTTGGGTGGGAGCCCTTCCCCTTCCAGTTCTCTGCACCCATGGGAGGGGCTCCCACCCATTCCCTCAGTCTCTTTTTCGACCTGAATTGTAACCCATGATTTCAGCATTCCACATTAGTTTGGTAATGTTCTAAGTAACTATTTACAAGGTTACCTGTGTGTTATTAGACAACCATGGTCCAGGTTGCATTATATGTCCACACTTTCTAGTGGATGTTCCTGTAGTATTTCTTTCTTCCCCATGTTATAAGGTGCTTCAAGTTTTTCAGGATTTTGTGGGATTGCTGCTCACAAATGAGCTTCTTTGTACAGACAAGGAAAAAGAAGAATGGCATATGAGACTCCTGTTTCCATTTGAGTGAGAGAATCCATCAGCAGAAGCATTACATAGAAGCCCAATTTAAAATAACAAAAGGCCAAAAAGATTACCTCACTATTTCAACCAGATAATTTGGATTGCTTTGATCTTGAAAGCAAAGGAAGTTCTTCCTAGCTATGGGCTTTGCCTTGGGGTATGCTTACTTGGAAGTAGATTCCATTGAGATATGTGAGACTTGCTTTCAAGTTAATACAATTATGGATAGGAATGTTGGAGTAGGCAGTACATTGATGCTTTAACCTCCATGATTTATTTAAATTGATATATTGCCCTCATTATACAGGATGGTATACAGAATTCAGTACTCACATTGAAAAAAATCTTCTTTAGTTGATAACCTTTGTCAAATATGCTAGACACTTAAAGTGTTAAGAAATGAAACATATAAAGTTGGGAGCATGCTCAAGATTCTTGGTACATGCTGGAATGAGCTATATCAGCCTTCAGATTGTTCCAACTACAACTCCAGTCATACTTTACCAGTGGTCATGTTGACTGTGACTAGGCAGTTACTCTCTAGATGTTTCAGACTCCACCAGGTTTCTTTTCCTTCTGCTGCTGCCTCTTTTGCTGCACACAGAGGACATCAGTTTTTCTTTGGAGTGGAATCCAGAATTGCATTTCAGTTGCATAGAATTGTCCAGGCTTGGCTAATTCATTATCATTTCTGGTTCTGAGTTTGTAAGAAAAAAAGGGATATAAATCAAATAATTTTGGGTTAGCTTAAACGCCTGAAAACCTTGAAGGATATAGTGTAAATATCTATTAATATGAACCACATCTTTTCAATAGAAGTGGGAAGAAAATGTGCATGGTCTGGTTTCATATGGGGGTGCAGAGGAATTAATTTTGTGCTAAGTTGTTTTCATAAATGAAAAGGGTTTATAATGTCTTCCTTTAAATGTTTATTTCCAAAGGTATCTTGCGGTACCGAGTGGACTTCCAGGGAATGGAATACCAAGGAGGAGATGATGAATTTTTTGACCTTGATGACTACTAGGTAGTCGACCTGGGTCTGGCAAAATGTGCCTCACCCCTCCAGCATCCAACCCAAGGAGTAAACTCACAGTGGAAAACAAAAACAGATCCCTGCCTTAGAATTGGAGTATTTCCAGAACTTTATCCAGAACACCGGGTTTAAAAAAAGAAAGAAGCAAACCCTACTGATTTGTCATAGTGTCAGTACAGCAGCAATCTACTAAGTTTCTATAATGCCATTTTGGACTAATTTAAAAAAAAATCCCAGTTTTTACTTTTACTTAATGGTGAAATTGGTTGCTCTTGTATTTTATGGAAATGATTTTTTTAACCTTCATGCTACATTAACTGCTGTCAACCTTCACTTGAAAAAAATTAATAGAAAGATTATACCGGTTTGTTTCTTATTTTGATTGGAAGCAATTTATTGCTGCGTTTTGCAGTGACATGACCCATTTACATGGCGTTCTTGGCTTAGACTTCAGGAGAAGAACCTTCGGGAGATGTTACTCCCATTGTTCTCAGACTACAGTGGTGGAAGTAAAAGGAATGGAACCCTATGGCATGCCTGCTTGAAAGGTGTGGCATACACATTCAGGCAGTCTGAGAAGCCCACCCATTTTGTTCTTAGACTGCAAAAGTGTTGCTTGTATAAATCAGGAAGTATGTTTCATGAATGGCAATTGAAATGCCAGAGTCTTGGCAAACTTGATTAGGATTATGAATTGTGTGGCCTTCACTCATCCCTCTTGTCAGTCGATAATAATAAACAGTTTCCACAAGCAAGCTAATGCTACTTATGCTTGGTTCTGTTCTTTACTAGGGACTGGGAGTTTTTTAGTTTTGCTTTGGGACTACATAAGCTGCCTTGGTGGGTCATCGTCAAATTTTGCTTTAAATGCAGATAGCTAGCAAAAATGTGACTGACATAAGCCTTGGCATTGGTGGCTGTGAAGCTTCTGTAGGCATTAGTAAAGGTTTTTTAGAAGCTTGGTGCCAAAGGTTCACATTAAACACTGTGGCATCACTCATGCAAAGCATATAGCACACCTTCCCTGCTTTCCCCTGGAACTGGCTGATTTCTAAAGGATACTCTGATATTTTAGTGCCTAGCTCTGTTCATTTTCCATTTGTCATTCTTGTACTGGTCAGATGCTCCCCAACTTGCAAATTCTGCATATCGTTCCAGTAATCCTGTCTCACTTGAATTGAAGGGAAAGTTTGTCTTAATTAAGCCTTCTCATCACAGTGTATACTTAAGAGGTCCAAAATGACTTTCTGTCTATGTGAGCAATAGAATTTGTATCTTTTTATAACTCAGCAAGCAGGCAGTTTATGATTGTCCACAAGATGTGTCCACGTTGGGTGGAAACTCTTACAGAAGCCCTTTGTGAGTCTGAGTATGCAATTTGATTTGCAGAACGCCTGATCACAAGCATCTGTGTGCTCTTCAAAGCAGTACACTTTGATTTTGCCATTGTAAATGGGTCTGCTATGACATGACGAGCAGAAAAATTGGGTGTAAATTTACATTTTTGAATATACTGCTTGTTTCACATTTAGGGTATGCAGCTCCTTTTTTGTAGTTTTATTTTTACTATTTAAGTTTGGAAATGATGCCAAATTTTTGTATCTCTTTAATCAATGTGTTATCTCTGGTGATATATATTGCATTATATATTGATGTATATATCAATATATACTGATATGTATTACACTTACGCAGACACATTAAAAGGGTGAGAATCCTGGCCTTTTGCATACTACATAGCCTCTTCAGAGAGCTCCCAAGCAGTGATATCTTGGTGTTGTGATGTACAGAAATGGAGAAGAGTATTAAACCATATTTAAGAATATATCCTGGATTCTTGATTTTATTTTCCTTGGGGGAGGGTTGCAGCATTGAATGCTGCTCATCAGGTGACTGTTTGGATCAGAACACTAATTCTGCAGCAGTTGACTGGTACCTGATTCTAAACAACTAGCAGACAGAATATCTCAGTGGTGCCTTGAAACACGAGCATATAGCTTGCTGCCAAGTTCAACATCACTTAGAAGCTGGATTTCATGTCAGGAGCAAACACTTCCTAAAGAGCACTTTGGTTGTTTAGTTCTACCAATAGAATAACCAGCTTAACTGCATCGGACAGGGTGGGCTCTGACTCACAAAAGCTTGTTACCACAATAAAGTTGGCCGCTAAGGTGCCACAAATGTGTTCACGTTTTTGGCATTGTTGACTAGCATTCCCATCCTTTTTGGTCATTTTCGGAAGTATGGACTCTAAAGCTTTCACAGTAGTTCTTTCCATTAATTTTTATACATTACTGTGTTTTTTTTTCTAGGTTATAGTGACACATTTTCAGATGCTCAGCTTGATAGCAGGTTAATGGAGAATTACTGCTGCATTAGAATTACTCTTCAGCTTGAGAGTAAAATCAGATAATTTGAGACAAAAGCATGTGTTATTTCAGCACTCTCAAGCTATCATAGATATAGTTGGATTTACCTTGTCACCCTTTCCACTGGAGGAACAATTGGTTAGAAGGAAGGCAGGTGGGGCAGAGATAGCATGTTAACCACACACTCCACTGCTGTTAGCTTCAAAGAGTGTTTTCTTCTGTCAAGGACTGGACATTTCCCATGTCTATTTCTTATCTGCTCAAGATTCACACAGGCTTGCCATGTTCTTACTCCCTGCACATTTGCAACCTTCATGGAAACTATAACCAGTTTCACTGTCCCTTTGATTACTGTATTTGAGGTCAGGCTAGCTTGTTAGCTATGGGTTACACTAAGTTCGTTTTGTTCTTATCCGTCCTCCCTTCTGGGCCAGTATAACTGATGTTTTTACTATGTGGCCTCCCTCTGACCAACTTTTTGGGGCCTTCCTCTGGCCAACTACTTTTGGAGAGTTTTGGGGTGCTGCAATTGGCAACACAAGGAATGGGAAACTGGTTGAATATGGTCCAAGATACATGGAACTGGGATCCAGAACTAGACACTTAGAAATGTGAAAGAGTAAGGATGACTTTTCTTCCCCCACCCACCCCCCAAAAAAACCTTTTTATTTTCTCAAGAACTAAAACATTTAGAATTGGAAAATATTTCCTTTTAGAATGATGAATGAAGCATTTAAGATAAGATGTCCGTATATTACTACCTAGTTTTTATTGTTTTCAAAGGGATCTCTAAATAAAGGAAAATGTTTATAAGAAGACTAGAGATGTAAAATATCTGGAAATACTGAAGTCATGGGGAAATAATAGTTCCAAATATTTTTTTGTAAAATTGCTGGCATAGTTATTTCTTCAATGCATATTAAAGCATTGGTTGGATATACTGAAAGATTTAGGGATGCTGCATGCACCCCTTTGAGGGATGCTTTGTTTCACAACATGTGACTAGAATTACCATATAATATATGAAGAGAATGTGCATTCTCAACAGCTAAGGTTTTGTTCTACACAACCTTTTGTTTGTGGGTGTAGTCTTATTAGAGGCCTCATACAAAAGGGGACAAAATGTCAGTCTTGAAATAATAGGGTGAAATTGTTTAACAGATTTTAACTGTATTTGATTAACTGGTAACAGGGTCTTCTCCAGCTAAACATTCTTTCAACAGCTTTTTCTTCAGTTCAGATTTTCCTAAACTGTACTCCATCAATTCCTGATAAACAGGAACAGATACTGTATACCAGTTCATCTTCGTGGTCTCTGTGCATCACACATAATGGGTACTGTGCCTGCACAGTGCCTGTTGTCGGCCAGAATACCCAAGCTACAACGGTTTTTGGCGGGAATTCCGCACCCCTCCCCGCTGGTGCTATATAAGGCGGAGCGCCTGCCATTTTCCTCAGTCTTCTTTCGACTGCCAATCGCATTGCCTTGAGCCATTACCTTCTTGTACTTACTTGTTTGTTCTAGAATTGTTCTTACCCGTTGAATCCAAGTTCTTTTCCCTTGTTTCCTGGTTAATCCTTTCCTCTTTACACACACACACACACACACACACACACACACACACACAGTTAGTATTTGCACTTTTTTCTCTTACCTTTACTATCCCTCTTCTGCTCTTCTCAATGGCTCAGTGCGCGATGTTTCAAAAGTGTTCCAAATGCGGGGCTAAAATGTCCCTGGCGAACCCGCACGAGCTCTGCCTCCTCTGCTTGGGAGAGGGGCATCGCACTGACAAATGCAGGCACTGCCAGGCCTTCACTAAACAGGCCAGGAAGAACCGAGACAATAGGCTGAGAAAGATCCTTTGGGATCAGGCCTTACTAGCCTCTGACGAGCTCACCGCTCAGCCTGTGACAGCCGGCCCTTCCATGGTGACCTCCCCTCACCCACCATCCGGGGGAGTTGCTTCCCAGGAGACCTCTCACTCCTCCCATTCCTTGCTCAAACAAAAGGAGAAGTGGAAGCATTCCGACCACGGGGATCCGGTGTGGCGTAGTGGTTAAGAGCATGGGACTGGGACTCAGGTGATCTGGGTTCTAGTCCCCGCTCAGCCATGGAGCCAACTGGGTGACTTTGGGCCAGTCACAGACTCTCAGCCCAACCTACCTCACAGGGTTGTTGTTGTGAGGATAAGATAGAGGAGGAGATGTAAGCTGCCTTGAGCCCTTTGTAGAAAAAAGGCAGGATATAAATCGAAAAATAAATAAATAAATAAATAAATCCATTGGTCCTAAAGAAGGCCAAAAAAGATAAGTTGAGCAAGGCCAGCAGGAAGCATAGGCCTGCTCCGGAATCATGGAGAGATTTGGATTCGACCGCCCTGTCGGTCCAGACAGCACCATCAGTCCCGACACCCTCGGCACCGACACCGAGAGAGTTGCTGCAGGTTACACCGCCCGGATCTCCACAGAGGGTTGAACCTGCGGTCCCAACCATGTTACATCCACCCGAACTGGTTGTTCATGGGTCAGTGTTGGATGGAGAGATCTGTGACTCTCCCCCAAGATCTTTGCTGTGTCATCAACCGGCTCGTTCCCCAACTCCGATGCCGTCCTCTCTGGAGGCTCCCAGGAGGACCATGGTGGTCGAACCCCACCTGCATCGCCATTCATCGGGACAATCCGCCAGATCATGGGTCCCGATGCCTTATGAAGGGCCGGAGGCTTCACAACCTCAATATTGGGGACCACCCCCATACGGCTATTACATGCCGAGAGAATACGGTCATCGATCCTGACAGTCGAGCTGAACCCCTTCTACTTCGGTGCTGACAACCTCTCGCCATCCTCCTTCTCCGGCTCAATCTTCCTCCAGTCCTCCATACCCATACGACTCAGACTCTGAGGACTTGGACGACTGTTCTACGTCCCCTGCGGCAGTCATCTCCACCCAGGGAGCTGGGTCACCCGAAGAGTCCTATGCTACCTTCAGTGAACTTATGGGGCACTTAACTAGAGCTTTGGAGGTTGAGGTTGAGCATCAGCCCAACGTTAATTTGGACAACTTTTATGATATTGTCCATAAAGAACAATCTTCCACAATTACCATCCCGGTGATTACAACCCTGTGGGAGGCTATGGAGGATACATGGACCCCTCCTGATCAACCTCAGTCGACATCTCAAAGGTACAAATCCATGTACAAAGTCAAGGAATAGGATATTCCCTTCCTTCTAAAACACCCGAAGCCCAACTCTATTGTGGTCGAGTCCTCTCAGGGGCGAGACAACAGAGAGCACTCGGCCCCTAGGGACAAGGAAGGAAGAAAAATCGACCTTATGGCGAGGTGCATTTATGCGGCTATGGGATTGGGCTTGAGAATCTCCAACTACGAGGTGACAATGGTGAGGTATCTGTATTTTCTGATGCAGCGGTTGGATTCGATCACCTCGTCCATCCCAGAGCAACAACGTGATCTAGCCCGGGTCTTCATAAGAGAGGCGATGCAGTTTGCGATCCAACAGCTCACACCAGCCCGCCATCACGTCGACTGTGATTCCCGTGCTCTAGTTGGCTCTGTCGCTCTCTGAAATGCCTGGCTACAATCGTGCAACTTCCCAGAGGAGACCAAGAGACGGATTGAGGGGATGCCATTCGACAGATCAGGCCTCTTCCACGATAGGACAGACCAGAAGCTCGAGTATATTTATAATGCTCGGGCCACCACCAGGAAGATGGAGATCCCAGGCTCAACCTGTCGTAAGTGGCATCGATCTTGATACCCAAGATACCAACCTTACCACCGTTTCCAGTCACGTCAACAATTCCCCCAGCGGAAACAACGAAATTGCACACAACTGGCCACCCAATATCAACAGGGTCGCCGCTGCCAACCCGTTGATAATAGGCAACGTTGATGGGCTCTGTGATCCTCTGTCTCCTACACCCCTCCCCCCTCCCTATGGGGGCCGGCTGCAAAGCCGACTCCCTCTTTGGGAGACCATCACATCTGACAAATGGGTCCTTTCCATAACTGAATTTGAATTTGGATATAGAATCCAGTTCGACGTCATCCCTCCTTTAGGTCCGGTGCTATACATCCTCATTGGAAATTCTTAGAGAAGAAGTATCCCAGCTACTTCATAAGGGAGCAATCCGACAACTCTCCCATTCCGATGGACCCTGCGGTTTCTACTCTAGATATTTTACGGTACCGAAGAGGGATGGTGGCTTACGCCCCATATTTGATCTAAGGGGCATCAATGCCTTTATTACAACTAAGAAATTCCGTATGACCACCTTGCAAAATATCCTTCCCCTGCTAGAGAGAGAAGATTGGTTTGCATCCATTGATCTGAAGGATGCCTATTTCCATATAGGTATCCATCCGTTTTATAGGAGGTTTCTCCGATTTACAGTTGGCGCCTACATTTTTGAATATAATGTCCTCCCCTTCGGAATTGCCACAGCCCGCAGGGTATTTACAAAGTGCATGGCTCTGATATGTGCTCACCTTCGTCAACAAGGTGTTCAAATTTATCCATATTTAGACGATTGGCTCATCATTTCCCTGTCTCGGGACCGACTTGTTGCAGACGTTCGCCTTACGTGCACTCTCCTGGAGGACTTGGAGCTCATTATTAATACCGAAAAGTCCTGTCTCACTCCTTCACAGGTCATCGAGTTCATCGGAGCACAACTCAATTCAGTCTGAGCATCAGCATTTTTACCACAGACCCAAATGGACAGACTTTGTTCAGTAGCCGTCCAGGTTCAGAGAGGCCGATCAGTACAGGTGGCCTCCAACAACACAGTTACCGTTTTTTATCTTTACAAACAGGGCGGTACAAAGTCGGTACCATTGACCCATCTATCCATACAGATTTGGGACTGGTGTATCCCCAGAGGGATTTTGCTCACAGCAATCCATCTAGCGGGAGTACACAATCAAGAAGCAGATACCTTGAGCAGAAAGATGTCGTCAACCCATGAGTGGGAATTGGACAACCAAATTTGCAGAGACTTGTTTACCTGGTGGGGTACCCCGACATCAGACCTATTTGCCACAGCTTCGAATTCAAAATGCAAGACGTATTGCTCTAGAGCGGGAACGGGTCTGAACTTATTAGGGGATTCCCTGATGCTGAGTTGGTCGGATTCATTCCTGTACGCCTTTCCACTGATTCCACTGATTACCTGCACCCTGGAGAAGGCTGCCCGGGACCGAGCAAGGGTCATTCTCATTACACCATGGTGGCCCCGTCAACCCTGGTTCCCGACCGCTCTCAGGCTGTCAAGACATACGTTCTTTCATCTGCCATGCATCCCTCACCTAATTACACAGGGGAGGGGGACGATTCTTTATCCCGACCTCAACACCCTCAACCTTACCGTGTGGCTCCTACACTACCTCTACCAACCCTCACAGACTTTGACAAGACACCTCGGTTCCGACGCCAGAGCACCAGTCGGTACCAGAGGAGCTCACTCGACTCTCCTCCGAAGCTGCATCATCTCTATAGGAGATCGAGTTCATCCTACAGTCTGCCCTTAGACCATCCACTCGTAGGTCATATGAGGCGAAGTGGAACGTTTCACCACATTTGTGGAAGCGAACTGTTTTACTCCAGAATTAGCTTCTATCGATAACATCCTTCCTTTCTTGCTTTCTTTGCACCAGTCTGGACTTAAACCTACCTCTGTCAAGGTCTACACACAGCTATATCCCATTTCCGCGGCCCTCTGTTGGGTTCATCCGTGTTTTCTCACATGCTCATCCAGCGCTTCCTTAAGGGATTACAAAATCTCCATCCTCCAGTCCGACCGTCGGTACTGACTTGGAGTCTATTGGTAGTTCTCCATGCACTCACCAAAGCTCCTTTCGAACCCCTCGCAATGACGGATTTAAGATTGCTATCTTGGAAAGTAGCCTTCTTGGTTGCCATAACCTCAGCGAGAAGGGCAAGTGAACTTTCCGCCCTCCGTGTGGATCCACCATACCTTAACTTCCACAAGGGGAAGGTAGTTCTGCGTACAGATCCGGCGTTTCTTCCTAAGGTGGCCATAGCATTTCACGTTAACCAGGACATTGTGCTTCCAGCATTCTTCCTGTCCCCATCCACCCTGATAGAGAAATCTCTCCATTCCCTTGATGTGCGTTAGTGCCTAGCTTTCTATCAGTCACGCACAGAGAGTTTCAGGAAAACTAAACGCCTATTCGTCAAATACTCCAAACCTGACAAGGGTGCACCTCTCTTTGCCCAGAGACTATCGAAATGGATAGTACAGACTATTGAACTGGCTTACCAGCTGGCCAAGATAGATCTTCCCGTTACCCCTAGGGGTCATTCTACCAGAGCCATGGCGGTCTCATCGGGCGTCCCACTGTTGGACATTTGTAAAGCTGCTACATGGACAACTCCCTGTACCTTTACCAGACACTATAGGCTGGACATCCAAGCCAGGCAAGATTGCTCCTTCGGACAGTCCGTCCTTTCATCCATCCTTCACTGATGATACCGACCCACCTACTATGAGTGAAGCTTGCTAATCACCCATTATGTGTGATGCACAGAGACCACGAAGAAGAAAGTCAGGTTGCGTACCTGTAACTGTCATTCTTCAAGTGGTCATCTGTGCAATCACACAACTCGCCCTCCGGCCTCACTCGGTGTCGAGGGATGGGATGGTAGTCTCTTTCTATTGACTCCTTTACTAGATGGCATGCTCTGCTAGGGAACGATCTGCCGGTCTCCAGAGACTGAGGAAAATGGCGGGCGCTCCGCCTTATGTAGCACCAGGGGGGAGGGGTGCAGAGTTCCTGCCAAAAACCATTGTAGTGTGGGTATTCTGGCCAACAACAGGCACTGCACAGGCGCAGTACCCATTATTTGTGACTGCACAGATGACCACTCGAACGACAGTTACAGGTAAGCAGCATGACTTTTTCCCTGGTCTCCAGCTCTTTTTTCTGGTTTCTAAAATAATCAGGTTTTTCAGGAACTACTCGCTGAAGTTACTTTTAGTCAGATGCAAAGTAAGAATTGAACATGTATTCTGTATAATTTGTTTTACTTGTAAAATTATGTTTGTACATTAAATTCAAACATACAGTTTATTCAAACAATAGTTACAAAGCTACTGAGTTAACTGCATATGTTTCCATATTTTTCCCAATGCACCCCCCCTCCCCCCTGGAGTTTTGCTTTGGAAAACAGCCCAATTTTTCTTAGATTGCTTTAAGGTTATTAGGCCTTAGGTCATTTAAATCATTAGGAACTGATCCCAAATCAAGATCTAGGAATCTAGGTTTTCTGCTTCCCACTGACCATCATGGGATGTTTAAAAAGAGCTAATTAGAAAGGTTTCAGAAGGACAGGTGCAAGATCCAGGGAATTACAATGTTAAGAATTAGCTTCATTTCACACTGAAATCTTGTGGCATTTAAAGAATTGCCAACTCATGGACATTTCCTCTCCTTGCTCCCCAAAGTGCAGTGATAAATTTATTTATTTAATTTATTTATTAAAACATTTTTATGCTGCCCCATTCGCCGAAGCCTCGGGGCGGCTTACAACAATAAGTTAAAATAATTTTAATATAAATCATGAATATAAACATTAAATTAAAAATACAAAAATACAGTATAAAATAAGCCGCCCTGGCCAGATAAAATCCAATAATATTAACAGTTAAAATGCTGCTTGAATAAAAAGGTCTTCGCCTGGCGCCGAAAAACAAATAACGACGGCGCCAGGCGGACCTCTCTGGGGAGCGCGTTCCATAAGTTAGGCGCCACCGCAGAGAAAGCCTTCCTCCAAGTACCCACCCTCCTAATTTCTTTCACGGAGGGTTCCCGGAGAAGGGCCTCCCCCGCCGATCTCAAGGGGCGGCTGGGCATATATGGATGCAAGCGCTCCTTCAGGTAACCAGGACCCAAGCCGTTTAGGGCTTTATAGGTCATCACCAACACCTTGAATACTCCTGGTAGAATGTTCTGTAGGATTAGAAGATGGATTTTCCAGTCAGCCATCCCTGTACCACCTCCATGAGTGTGGGGATGATGAAGAAGTCCAGAACAGACTGAAACTGGTTTAATCTTTCTACCCACCCATGAATTCCACAGTGGACTACCTCTTCCCAAGTCACACAAATTCTGCAGACTTCCAGACCTTTTAAAAGAAACTTTCTGTAATTATATGCAAATTTAGTTGTGGAAAAATACAAAAATGGAGAAAACGGAACAAAAATATCTATTTCTCCCAATAGACTATAGTGCAAACCTATTTTGAGAGATGTGTGCATTTTTGGAAGGGTGAATTCACATGTCATATTAATGCATTTGCACAAAATGTAATTCCATTCCATTAGTGAGCAGATGATGGAACAAAAAGCACCTAACCATCTGCAAAATGCAGAGTTAACAAATTCTGTACTTCCTCTAAGCAAAACATGCTATGTTTGGGGAGACACTGCCCTCATGCAGGGCCCAGTTGCAGTTCTGCATGAGGATCACTTCAAAGAGTAGTCAGCTTTGTCTTAGGCAGCAGCAGGGACTATCTGAAAATGCCCAGTTCAGGTCAGGGATTGGCCATCATTTTTAGCAGTACTTCATTCAAACTGAACTTTCTTGATCACTAAATTCCTTATATGCTGACATGTGGGCAGATGAAGGTATGATCTTGCATCCTAAGTCTTGCCTTTCTTTCCTGACAGTAATTCTTACCTCATTCATATTCACAGAATGAGACTTGCTTGCCTTCTTGTTCCAAAACCTCCAAAACACCTGTGGCTTGTGGGACCCTTGTGGAGGATGTGGGGAGCAGGAGTTGGTGAATTCATCACTACTACTGCTCTTTTTGTGAATGGTAAAACAACTTTGAATCCAAATCAAATACCAATTATGCTAACAAGGCAACCTCTCAATCTCTTTTTAGCAAGTGTTCCTCATTCATTACTCCTCAGAGAAAATCCACAGAAAACCCATCACGTTCCACAGTCATGGCCTTCTGCTTACCTAACTGGCATTCGATAAGGCTTCCGTGTTCCCTTCAACTTCTGTTGTGACCCAGACTAATGAATGTGCAGGCTCTTGGATCTTCCAGAATGTCCAGCAGAAAGGAAGGGAACAAAATCTGGGGGACAGAAAGGGCAATGAATTGATAAACTATTCCTTGCTGCATGTGCTTGCACATCTAGCAAAAATGTTTTTGTTTGTTTATTTAAAACTTTTATATGCCATCCCAATACAAAAAGTCTCTGGACAGTTTACAAAAATAGACTGGAGAATGACCAATGTGATGCCGATTTTTAAAAAGGAATGTGAGCGGGTTGTGATCTTGGAAATTACAGGCCAGTTAACTTAATGTCTGTTTCAGATAAATTGGTTGAAAGCATTATTAAAGATAAATGAGTAAGCGTACAGAATGGCAAGTCCTTCTGAGAAAGACTCCATATGACTTCTGCATAGGTGAGTCCTGTCTCAGTAAAATTTTATGGTTTATTGAGGATTTTAGTAAATGTGGGCAGTGTGAATTGATTGATGTTTACTGAACTACAAAATGCTTCTGACAAAGTACCTTACCAAAGATTGTTGAGCCAACTTAGCAGTTATAGAATGAGATGGATCAGTATCTGCTTAAAGCAGAGAACAGAAAGCAGTTGGAATAAACAATAAATTCTCCCAGCGGAGGAATATAAACAGGGATCTGTACTGGGACCAATGCTTTTTGGCCTGCTCATAAATTGGGAACTAGGAGCGCACCATGAGATGGCCAAGTGTGCTGCTGTACCAAGTTATTTAGGATGGTTAAAACAAAAAGGGATGGTTAAAAGCTCAAAAGGATCCCTCCAAATGTGGCCAGTGGGTGTCAAAATGGCAAATGCAGTTCAATGTAACCAAGTGTAAAGTGAAACTCTTTTGGGCAAAAAATCCCACGTTTTCATCTAAATGATGGAGTCTGAACTAGCAGTGACTGAGCAAGGAAGAGAGCTTGAGGTTATGGTGGACAGCTTCATACAAATGTTGATCCAGAGTGCAGCTGCTATAAAAAAGGGCAAATTCCATGTAAAGTATGCTCAGGAATCGAAGCTAAACCTGCCAATACCATATTGCCCTTATATAAATCTGCATGCAATCACATTCAGCAGACAATGTAAAGGTATGATCATCACTTCTAAAAGAGTATATTGTAGAGCTGGAAAAAGTGCATAATGGATAGCAAAAACAATTGAGGGCTGATCAACATGTGGGGAAAAGTTACAACTGCTAGGACTTCTTTGCTTAAAGATGAAAAAAGGGAGGCATTAGAAAAGTGTATAAAGCTATGCATGGTTTGGAGAAAGTGGATAGGGAGATATTTGTCTTCCTTTTTCAAAATGCTAGAACTTGGGGTCATCCCAAACAACTGGTGGTAGACTGAGAACAGGTCAAAGAAGCTGCTTCCTACAGCACTTCTTATAAACCATGAAATTCACTACCGCAAGATAGTGATGTCCAACAATTTGGTTGGTTTTAAAAGGGGATTAAGCAAATACATGAAGGAGAAGGCTACCAATGGCTTCCAGTTCTGATAGCAATATGTAACCTCCAGGATCAAAGATTGCATATGTATGCACACAAGTCACTGGAGGAGATGAGGAGAATGCTATGGCATTCATGGTCTACTTTGGGTTTCCTAAGAGCAGCTGGTTGGCCATAATGTAAACCAGATGATGCACTAGACAGACCTACTTTCTGATCCAGCACAGTATTCCTATGTGGTGTAGACTAAGAATCTAAATGTCCCCACTCCTCAAACCGGGCTGAAAATACTGACCAGTTGGCTATTCTGTGCCCCTGCCCGCCATGTCCTGTATATTCACAGCTTCTAAATTTACCTAGGAAAAAATAAAAGCAGAACCCACTCCTGACTCTTTCCTGCCTCTCCCTCCCTGAGGCCTTGACAATAATGCCAGGTATCATGATGTCATAATGGCAGGCTTATGACAGAAGGTGGCTGCTCTCTTCTGACTCAGTAACCCTGAGTGCTTTCTGAAGGAAGGGGCCCGGCTACTGCCTTAAAGCCCAGTAGGTATCTTTCTGACATAGGTGTGCTGGGCTGGGTATTGTGCAGAGTAGTGGAAGGGAGTTTGGATGTATTTTCAAAAGGGTATTATGGGGTCTAGAACAATGAATTATTCCCACCAACAACAGCTGAAAAGGACGGGTAAGTTCATAAAACTATTGGAAGGTGTAGTCAAATTGCTGGATTATGGCCTCAAGACCCCAACAAAACCATCATGACTGTTGATGGATTTCTCATCAGTAGTTCCCCTTGTGTGTGCTCAAAGATATTAGACTGGAGCAAGACACTGGGTTATGTCCATGGTTATAGTAGCAGAAAATTCACATTCTGGTTGTTGCACAACTACTAGCAGAACAACAGGGCAAGCGCTGCCTAGCCTTATAATGTTGTAGTATGTTTGAGGACACTTTGCACAAGTTTGTGGCATGCCTTGTACAATGCTGCCTGTGCAAGAGGAATTTAAGTATTAGACACTTGGACAAAGAAGAAGTCAGTGTTTCCGTAAGCAGTAGCAGCTTTGTTCTGTTGGAATGACAGCTTTGGATGCAACCCATAGTTAGACTCAAGCACTTTGAGTTGAATCTAGGCTTTGCATAGCAGCTTCATAAGTGGCCCAGTTGCTGCTGTTGTGTTCCCCCCATATTTCCATAATTTAAGGACAGGGAAGTACAGCTCCTGAAAAGTTTTCAGTACAGCTCCTGAAAAGGAAAAAATGTGTGTGTGGGGGAGCTGATTTTACAGAATGTATTGTTATGATGGAGGTTTGATGAGGAGCAAGCGAGAATTCAGCCAACTGCAATGAGAAGGTGGGAGGGTGGGAGGGACTTTTAAGAGTCTTGCATCACTTTGATTGCTTTTGGATACTCTACCACCCCCACACCCGCACACTACAACCCAGCACCAGCAAAGATAGCTCTGTGGTGGGCTGTGCATGGTTGCTTGATTTTCATGTGGGTACATGCCTGCAGACAGATCAAAGTGGTCCAGTTCTTGCTTCCCTCATTCTACCCAACCCAGTGAGCTTCATGGCTAAATGGAGGATGCATTTATGTAATGACTATTTAGATACAGCTTCACATCCAAACAGATTCTGGAGAGGTAAATGATGAGAAGTAGAACACAGAGAAAGAATAAAACAGTTATCTTAAAACAGGATTAGTACAATGGTGACTGGGCAGTTGAAATAAAGGTTTCTCAGGAGGCATGGAAAGCAATGAAAGGTTGCCTGCCTGGCCCTGGAGGGAGGCACTTTCGCAGGAATGGAGGCCCCACATTGAAAGTTCTCTGGGTGGCCTTCGGTCAGATCACAGGCCCATGTGGAACCACCCCCAGCATCCCACCTGATGTTCTCAGTGTCCAGGTGGATTGGCAGGAGAAAAGGTGCTCCTTTGGGTAGCCTAGACCTAAGTTGCTTTGGGCTTTCTGCACTACCAAAATCTTAAATCTGGCTTGGTGGCACAATTCTCTCATGCTGGAGAGCAGCAGCTCCTGACAATAGTTGAGCTTCTGGACTGGCCTTACCCACAGCCCTACTTGGAGGTTACTAGCACCTGTACTGATTTGGTCAAGCTGTCCCTGTCCAGGGGCCGAATTCAGGCACCCGTGATCCCAGTGCAGCACACTCTTCCTCCAAGCACCGCCACCTCCGTCTGCTTCTAGCAGTGCCACTGCCTCACATGTGGTGCAATCCTTTTTGGAAAAGGTGGCGTGAGGGCATGATGTGCACAGCCAATCACAATGTAAGTGAAAAAGCAAATGCTTTCTAAGGATCCGTGGCAATGTGCCGAACAAAGTGTTTTAAAACTTCCCTTTATGACTGCATTTTAGATCAGGCTAGCCTATCTGTAAATCCACAAAATATCACAAGCAAACATTTAACAAAAGAAATAGGTGTCAATACAGAGATGATATATAAACTGTGTTTTATGCTAAAAATTAGAAAAATAGGCTGCAGTCCTGTCCCATTTCCCTGGGAAGTGGGAGCTCCCTGAACACAATAGTGGACATGTATAAGGTTGCAAGGTTACTTCTCTTAAAACAAGAGATGAAGGGAGTCTAATGTGATGCTTACTATTGTACCAGACTTGGCTATTGAACACATTTTGTTGTTTGATGTGAACCTTCTCCTGAGGCAGACAACATAAAATGGAACCAGCTGTATTTGAAAGCAAAGCCTAAGGTATTTGTTAGGACTCAGGGTAGCTCTGGGATGATAGATGACTCTCCAGGAGAAAGGTGTGAATTATCAAAAAGGGAGTCATGGATTACCAAAAAGGGGGCATCATTTTAAAAAATGAACAAACAAAGGGCATAAAAGAGTAATAATTGTAGTGTTTAGTGTGCACGACTCCCCACTTTGCCATGAAGCTCCCTTGATAACATTGTGTCAGTCATGGACTGCTCTACCTACCCCAGGGTGTAGGATAAAACGGAGGTAGACTACACAACCTTGGGTTCCTTGGAGGAAAGGTGGGATATAAATGTAAGAACCACACGTTAATTTATATGTATTGATTCAAATTTAGAAGTGCTATACTTTGAACAGAAATGGGCTGCTTCATTCATTAATGGCCTCACCTGTGCACCTGTTCAGCCTGCAGTCCAGGTGCTCCCTGTGTGCCCTCTTCCCCATTTTGATCGCTTTTCTGACAGGCTGCGAAGCAGATGAGAGGAATTCCCACACATCCCTTCCCCAGCACTACCCTCAGCAACACTGTGGAGCACATTGGGGGTCCACTCTGGGCTAGGGGATTAGGACCACAATTCCCATCAGCCACAGCCAGCATGGCCAATGGGAAGGGGCTGTGAGAGTTGTAGACTGCCAGCACTGCTAACTCAGAAAAGTGCCTAGTACGTTTTCATCCCCCTTCCAAGTGGCAGCCAAACATCTCTGCTAATCATGTCTGCCTGCCAAGAACCTCCAGCCATTCCAGAGGCACTCCGCAGCCTCTGCTGTGTCACCACGTTGCGTCCCAGTGACCTTGGTCGCCCACAATAGAACCTGAAAAGTTAATTGTCGCCCATTTGTATCCCTCTGTTTATTAACCACTCTTCCCTCTCTGTGCCAG